CAATTAGTGACAGATGAAGTTTGGGTCAATGCTAGGCATGTCATACAGCGTCCAGACAAACACTTCGATGTTAGAGGTCAAAAATTCCATGACCTCTATTCTCTTGGTGCTGGACATAGATGAGCCAAGCAAAAAGAACTTTTTCGGGTCATTTTCATCTATTCTTACCTGTACCAAGTCTTCCACTGCCTTCTGTTCAGTGGCTTTGCTAACATCTGTAAACAATTCATTGCTCTCAGGTTCTTCCACCATCTGAACAAACGCTTTGGCAGCTTGGCTGCCATTTACTGTGACGAAGCATTGCTTGGACATAATTTGGTCTCCAAAGACCTCTTCAATTACTCCGGCTTCGTTGGGGAACCGCATTACTTGATGGTAGGTTGATGCTACCGATCGCATGGCGTGCAGCCATGTCCTCTCCAAGATTATGTTGTAAGTGGAAGAGATTTTCAATACCTAGAATTCCACTTGTTTCGTCATGCTTCCTACTCTGACTGGGAGGATAATCTTGCCAACTGGCCACTCTAGCATTGAGTTGAATCCGATCGGGGGAGATACGGCAGGTGCGAAGTCTTTGTCCTCCAGTTTTAACTATTTGAAGGTTTCATAGTACATTATCTCACATGAGCTCCCTTGGTTGATCAAAATTCGCTTGACGTCGTAATCCTTGACGCAGAGAGTGACGACCAGTGTATCGTTGTGAGGGCAATATATCCTTGCCAAGTCTCTGTCTGAAAAAGACATGACGTTTGTGGCCTCTGTTCTCCCCTTTTTAATGGTGGGCTGCGCACTTAATACCTCCATTAAGTGCTCAGCCTTCTTGATCATTCCCTTGAGCTCACATACTCGCTCAGGTTCGAATACCCCATGTATTACATTTATCACACCTTGAGGTGGGGCGTCGATCGGATTCCGTTTGGGTGATCGTGGTTCTGGGGGGCTGGCTGCATCCCTCCCTCAATGTATTGGTCCAGATGCCTAGCTGTCACTAACTCTTCCAAATGCTGTCTCAACGGCGTGCAATTCTCAGTGCGGTGCCCTTTTTCCTTATGAAAGGTGCACCGGGATCTTTCGTCATAGTCCTTTTGTGCCTCTCCCAATTTAGCTGGCCATCTGACGAAAGGTTCATCACGTATCTCACTGAGAATCCGATAGATCGATTTTTTGAAAACCGTGGTAATGGCAGTGCGGACTCTCAACCACCTCTTATCTTGGTCCTCTCCATTGTCCCGTCTGCCTCGCCCGTTTCTGTTAGGACGTTCTACCGCGTTAACTTTTGCCGAAGTCTTTTTATCTGGTATTGCGGTTGTACTAGACTTTGTTTTAGCACGGGCGCCATCCTCCTCTACCCGAGTGTGCTGGTGTACCCTCTCCATTAAGGCTTCAATTGTGAGGGGGGCGTCATGGTAATTGAGTCCCTTAGCCTGTTTTCAACTGGAAGACCTCTTTTATATTGCGCGATGGCGAGATTTGTGGGGCAATCTCTTATCTAGTTGAAGGTCTCCCAATAACGACCGTTGTAAGATCTCAACGTCTCCTTGTTGCCCATATCAATGCAGAGTAGCTGATTGATTTCTACTGGCGTCTTGGCGTTTATTCTAAACCTTGTCACGAACGCCTCCGCTAATTGCGCCCAGGAGGCTATGCTGCCTTCCGGTAGCCTTTCGAACCAGGTTAAACCTAGGTCGCCAAGGCTAGATGGGAATATGATGCACATCAAAGCCTTGTTCCGCCGGTATACTGCCATGACCTGGCGAAAGTGGCTTAGGTGCATGTAAGGGTCTGTTTTTCCCTTGTAAGTCGTAAATTTAGGCTGGATGAATCCTGAAGGTAAGGGTGCGTTCTCAATCGCCAGAATGAACAGCGAGCTATTTAGCCTTGCCAATGTTTTATCTGTTGGTTCGTAAGCAAGGTACGGTATTGGCATTCCTACCTCGACGCTTCCATGCGTCCAAGGAGCCAACCGCTGAAGGGCTGAAACTCTGTGCGGGTCGCGTGCCCTGGCATCCTCTTTCCGTCGTGCCCTTTCTTCAAGCACGGTCTGTAAGTCGGATGATCTAGGCAACTCCGTTTGCCTGGATGATGTCTGGTATGTATGTGAGAGCCGATAGGTGCTTCCCTCAGTGTAAGACCTCAATGATCTCGTTCTCTCAGACCTGGAGTAACGAGTTCTTGAAGTCCTTGATTGAGTGTCGCCTGTTCTGAGGCTCCTATTCTTTGCTTGCGATGGCGTGGTATGCCTACCACGATCTTCTGAGTGTCGAGAAGGCGTATTGCTTTTGCGCCCCTCTCCTGTCGCCACCCCTTTCCCTTTTATCTGACGCTTCATCAATTCCATGTCCGCCGCCATCTTCCTGATTAACTCGTCCTGCTCCTTGACCCGATCCTCCAAAACTTGAGGGTCGATCCTCCGCCTCTGCCTATCAGAACTTGATGAGCGACGGAAGCTGTTACCCCGCCTCCCCCTTGCATCCCTCCGGGGATTTTGTCGCTGGGGCTCTAGATCTGCCATGGGAGGGATGAAAGGCAAACCTTCGCGCCTCCCACCTCCCTCTGGGGTTTGCCCGTCAATGGCGGATTGCGACAAATCTTCATTGTGCGCCATTGCGTCTAATCTAGCGAGGAAAACTTTGATCAAGAGGTTTTGTTCTTTCTGTGATTCCCACAGACGGCACCAATTGTCCGAGCAAGAAATAATCTTCTCGTATAATCCTGTTGATCAAGTCCGCGCTTCTCCAAACGTCGTCGCTTTACTCCCTGAAAACACAAACGTGAGCTAGCCGGCGGGTGTGTGCCGGATACCTCTCCGATGCCTAAGTCAGCAAAATAGACAAATAGATAAAAGCTCTGTGTGTTCGAGAATCAAAGTTGTGTTACCTCTCCATAGGTGATGTTATGAGTTTTTATAGGTTCCGCGTGGCACAATCCTAGTAGGACTCTTATTCCTTTATGCAGAGTCCTCCTAGGAATCACATTCCTGAAAGATAATGCTTATCCTTCAACACCTCCCTCACTGCTTAAACCAAGTGAGATGGTCCTAGCTCGGTGGTATGTCCAAACGACCGAGCTAGCATTGCCATGGCACAATGACAATATAACCAAGCTAACGATACTTATGTTACATTTATCCCGGCGCTTTATGTGTAACATGTACCTCGTCTTCGCCTGTAGACCGTGCTAACCATAGCGTACTTTGACCAAGCTACTCAACAGCAAGGTCCTGAGTAGAAGCCAAAAATACCTCGGCTCAAGAAGGTTTGACCGAGCTAACTGTCACCGCGCCAACCGTGGTAACCGAGCTATCCACCATGCTCTTTTGGACCGGGCTATCTGCAAGGCTCCTCTAGACCGAGCTAACTACAAGGCTCTTTTGGACCGGGCTAACGACAAAGCTGTTTTACTCAACCTTTTTTACTGTGGTCCACAGAACGGCCCATTACCCAACTCGGCTTAATTTACATATAAATTACCCTCTCGAAGTCCATCTCAATTTAGACTCAAAGTTAGCCAAAAGTTATGGTTGCACAAATCATTTTTCCAACTCTCTGTTACCTATTTTTGTGAAAATTGTTTACAAAAGAGGATAACCGTGGGGACATCTGGCCAAACGTCCAGCCGGTCGTCTGATGGTCCCATCCTTAATGGTCATGCACAGTAAAATGGTGAAAAGTGCCCCAAATCCTCAGTTTGGTGAAACATTTGCTTTTCTCAATTTGATATAAGTTTGATGAAACCATTGAAGCACAAAAAGTAGTACTTTTTTACTAAAAGCGTTAGAGATGGCCTAAGGCATGTTTCAATTCCAAGTAAATAACTAAAAAAGGACTTACGTGTAGCTTTTAATAGGTAGATTTATTATCTTGCATGTCCTGTGATAAATTAACAAAGTTTTTTTTATCAAATATTATTTAAAAAATGTCACTAATTATTAATTTTCAGCGACAATTTGAAAATTGTTACAAAAAAGTCACTAATTATAAATTTTAACAACAATTTAAAAGAAATCATCACAAAAAGTCACTAATTTTTAACTTTCAGCGACAGTTTAAAATATTCATCATAGAAAAATATCACTAATTGTAAGTTTTAGCGACAATTTATGAAAATTGTAATAAAAAAAATCACTAATTGTCAATTTTTAGCAACGTAGGCAAAAAATCATCACAAAATATTATTTTTATTAGGATTAACTTTCAATAGGACTTAATAAAAATTAAATCAAACTATTAAATTTCTTTTTATATTTTTGTAAGAAATTAGAAACTTAGTTACAATGTCGGTGTCATAATAGGTTGCAAGAAAATTATTATTATTAGTTTTTATAACTTCATGCGACCGCCCGCGGCTACTTTCATAAGATTTATCTCTATATCTTCAATAAGGAGACTTATTAGCTATTATAACTAGTATTATTATATTTTAATTATTATAATGAATTAATTATATTATAATAATTATTTTAATAAAATTTTTTAAGGTTATCTACATTTGAAAGTCTTGTGAGACTCTGTAAACAATTTGTGTGTATATATAAGTAAAATAAAAGAGTTGTTTAGGAAGTAAAATTTTAGTCTAATTTAGGTTAAAATTTACAAAAAGATAAAATATGCTAAAATAGTCAATAAGACAAAATGTCACATTAAACCCATAATCATTTCACTTTTTTCTCTCACAAACATCACATCCAACAAATTCAATCATCTTTCCAAATACAAAAATTTTAACCTACTAAAATAGTCAAAAATTAAAACAACTTACTAAAATAACAACTTTCTAAACACTCACAAAGAATAGTATTGGAAATATAAATAAAAAAGAAATTAGATAAAACAAAGGATTACGTTTTTTATATTTTAATTAATAAAAAATGAAGAATATGGTACCAAACTTTAGCCGTAAGATATATTTTTCTTTTCTTTTATTTTCTTTACTTTCACTTCATTTTTTACTAATTTCACTTTTCACTATTTATTTCTTTTTAATTTTATCTTAGAATAAATAAATAAAAAAATATTTTGTTAGAAAATATATTTGAAAATGTGATTAGTTACAATCCCAGAGGTTCAGGAGCTCTCCAAGCAAACTCCACAGCTGAAGACTTCGATTTCATGGCGGCAAAGCAATCAGGTATGAGGACTCGACTCCTTTCTTTTGTTCTCTTCTTCTTCTTCGGATGATAAAACCCAGTTAGGTTTAGGGTTTCTGGATTCTTCTGAAAACTCCCTCCCTCCCCCACCTCCTTCCCTTGAAGTTCTTCCCTCAGAGGTATTTCCATTGCATAATCCTCTTTGTATATATATCTTTATAATATGCATGCATCTAATTTAGGGTTTTCGTGGGTAATTTTATTTGGAACAGGTTTCATCATCTGAGACATATACAATGGAGCCTGTACATTTGAGTGGACGCACTTTGCTCAAGGTAAATATTTTCAACCCATTGTTTGTTTTACCATTCCAAAATATATGAGATTTCTAGTTGGTTTCCAGTGATATGAGAACTAATCTATTCACAATGTAAAACAGATTAAAAAAATTTAGTTGTTTTGATTCTACTGTATTTTCTGAGCGACCAAACAGACCAAACACAAGTCGATTATGTTGCTGGGAATGACTAAAAAAAGCAAATGTTTCATCTTTTGTACTAGGGAAGGGTGAGTACTCAGGAGATTTTCCATTTATCCAATTCTGACTTGGTCCCTGGTAAATATGAGGGTTTCTAAGCAATTTCTTCTCTGCATTTTCATCTCACATTATCCTTATTTGAATTTAAATTACTTTATTATGCATATGTATATATATGCAGGATTTATGTTGAGGATTTGCATAATGTAGGGGGACTAAAACTGTGAGAAGGTTCACTAGATTTAGTTAAAACTCTGCAATCAGAGGTGCAAGATGGTCAATTATTACTTACTGGAAAGCAGGTTTTAGAGGTGAGCTCCTATTACTAAAGTGACCTCTATTCTCTAACGCTATGATGCATAAACATGTTTGAAATTGAGATGAATTTGGCTACAATGAAACATTTCTATATTGTATGCCATATATATGCATTACATATGTTTTATCATTGCATGTCTTTTTGTAGGTCTATCACATGGCAATGCGGCTGTTTGTTATATTAGTTGGGGTTGTGATGAGTCTATCCTAAGCAGGGGCATACAAACCACCAAGTATGTTAGCTTGGCTAGCTAACATGCTCAATGCCTTAACTTTGAGCCATGGCACCACAAGATGAGCCAACATAGGGCATCCCGAGGCGTGGCCAGAGCACCACTCAATTGTGTTGAGGGTCCAAGGCATCCCTGCTCGACTAACTCTGCCCCTCAATTGTGTTGAGGGGCAACATGGCTCTGCATCTCATTTGGCTTGGCTGAGGGGTCCTTCACCAGACCATGACCCCACTATGTCTCGTCTTCTCTTTCTCCGTAAAGCTGTCTCCTACTGATCAAGACATCTCCAATACCATCATCCAATGATGACCTAGGTTGAGTGTTGGGCCTAGGAATCCTTGTCTGGGGGATCACTCTAGGTATGTGGGTTAGAGGTTAGAGTTAGGGATTCATTTTGGTGCCTTTCCATCCCCCTACCCTGATGGTGTCTGCACCTTGATCAATCTGAGAGAGAGAACGATGAACGATGAGAGTCTTCTGGACGTTGAAATGATATGGAATACGGCTTTGGATTTTTGAAATGGTGGAGATACTATGCGTGATTTCCTGCAAGAAGAAAGGGGAAGAGAGAGACGGTTATTTGATTCAAAGAAAGGATAGACGCGTGTTTGTCTGAGGGTTTTTTTGGTCTTTTAGTATAAAATGGGACCTAATGGAATATTACAAAATATTATGGGTCTTATAGAATAAGACTCTTAGATAATGGATTTACTGAAAAAGCTCCCTATTTAAATCCCAAAAAAAAAATTAAATTATTCAAATAATTATAGGAGAAATTATTAAAAAATCTAATTTGGGAGGATTTTAATTTAAGAAGTCCTCCTTATTTTTTAATATTCTGGGAAGTCCTTTTTTTCTGGTAATATGATCTGCAAGTTCTCATTTGCTAATTTTGAAATGGATTTGGTGATCTTTTTACCCTTTCTTTGTGTAACCTTTTTAAAAAGATTTTTGAATTCCATTGATTACATTTATTTCTGAAAAGATCAAATATAAGCAGGATTTTGTGGATTTCTAGGGTTCGTGAGTATTTGTATTTTGAAAAATGTAATTAAATGTGAAAGTGAACGTTCACTGAGACCGTGTACGATGTGATCGTGCGATGTGGCAGTCATATACTAATAAGACCAAATAATTTATTTTTATTTTTTTTTATAAAAAAAATACTTATATTAGAATTTTTTTTTCTTTAATTGATGTATGTACCCATCTTTTGACTACATACATCTCACACCCGGCAACATCACACATTGCAAGCCAAATATTAATCTGATGTCACTGTATGAAGTTAGAGGATGGACAGGGCCCCGGCAATTATTACTAACGGTTGAGCACCACATTACAAGCCAAATATTAATCTGATGTCACTGTCCCTCAACGTTAGCATCCCATTCCTAACAAGGAGACAACCAGTGTTTGACATGAACTTTTGAATCATCTTGAACACTAATTCATCACATGTTTTGAACTCGCACTGTTTGAGATCATTATCCATAATGGCTTCGAACATTAGGCAAGACGGAGTTTTCCTCAGATGGACGCAATGTGCCTCCATCAAACTTGATGTGGACACAATTTTCACTATCCCAGTGATATTTAACCGATAATTTAATCGTATTTTTTGAGATTTCATGGTTACAGGCACACTTTGAAGTGGTTTCACATGTTTGAACAATATACGACCTTGAATCCTTGGCCCAATGTTCTTTGATAGTGAACTAGCAATAACATACAATCGAGTCCTCTCCCTTGATCTTGTCCACGGGCTAGATGTTCCCACACCTTCTGCAATACAAAAACAAGAAGCAATCACATTTCTAATCACAATGAACATATCCACATTACTAATTTCACACACCTAATGAAAACACTTACGTAAACATACGTTGTACACCCTACCACATACGGCACAATACACATTCACGCACGTCAACACTTAATAAATTCATCACAGATCAAATAAACTCCCACACATATCACACTGTCACACCACATACGACATAACTATGCACCATATGCCTACACACAATCACACACACACATACCCCACATTCAAAAGCACATCAGTTCCCAGCCCTTCATACCTTTATCCCACAAATTCCCACCACCACACCAACACCCACATCAAACCAGAACTCCCAAATTTGGGACACATGCACACCAAACATAGCATGTCACACCATAATCACAAGATATCAAAATGAGAAACAAACATAAAAACCCAACAGCGTTCTCACAAGTTAATACACACAAATGATACATAAAAAGTTTGTAATCAAGTAAAAACCCTATATTACACAACACCACGGTCACATATAACAAAGATTTCAAAATTAAATGCACAAATGTGGAATTTACTCTTTCGCGGTGTCGTCATCGAAGTCGGCTTTGTTAACATCTAATGTACCATTGAACAATCTTATGTGCCTCACCACTAATAACAGCCCTTGCCACTACAATTTGGGGATATGCTTCTTATTGCAAAGTTAATGGGGTTGTGAGGGATTTTTGATGTGCATCAACGATGCATTAGCGGTTCAATTCCATATTTACATCGACAAATTTAGGATCCGATTATGCCAAACAAGCGACACACAACAACTCTGAAAATGCCCCATACGCATACGTCTCAAATTTTGGAAACTAGAATATGACAGATAATTTTCCACAAAATGAAAATAACAACGATAGCACACTACTGACCAGAACCCCCAGGCATCAGATTGTAACAACCCCGACCCGTGATTAACTGATTAACCATGATTAATTATGCTCAATAAGTAACCAAGAAGAAATCTTGAGTTAATTGCATATGTTATGTGCTATATGAGTTTCTATCTGTCTATCATAGGAATATCTGTTTCTATTTCTGTTTTGTACAGTGAATTGAAAGCCTTATCGACATCCAATTACGAAATTGACTTGAATTACGTATTAATTGGAATTTTTGGAACTTTATGGTAGGTTTAATTAAAATTCGGTTCGGAACGAGTAAATTAGAATAAATTAATGCTCATTAGATTAGTAGTAAACTAATTAATTAATTTCTTTAATCAAGCCTATTTAAGGCCACCTCAATATCTCTTATAGACTGTTGCACTCTCATTTCCTCTTGCTTCAGCCCAAAAACGTGTAGAGAGAGAGACTAGGGAGAAGTGACTTCAAACAAAGGAATTGCTTGAGAATTTGGAGATTTGGCTAGGGACTTCAATCAATTAACTCTAAAGAGAGCATAGTTGAGCATCTAAAGTAAGATATCCAACCCTTAGTTGTGTAATTGAATTAGTTTTGTAAGAATTCTAGTGAAAGAGGTGGAATGACATAAAAATGAAGCTAGGATTATAGAATTATAACCCAAATCATGTATGCATGCTTATATCATGGCATTTTGAGTAGATTTCTAAAGAATTGTCACATGCATGTGTCTATCTTGAGTTGGTTTTGAGAATTCATCACATTTCTTACCATTTGACCTTAATTAATCATGTTTTGGAAAGCCTTAGTTCAAAGTAATTCATGCATGTCATGTTCATGGCATATTCATAAATTACAAGTTAGAGTTTTGATCAATTAGCATGCTTTTGGGCCTTGATTTAGTGAAATGATCTTCAAACCATGGTATTTACAAGTTTTTAAATGTTTTCTGGAGTTTTGGCCCAAAAAGATGAGTTTTAAGGTGTGTAATTTGAGTTTGGAACTTGGGAGTGCAATTTGAAAATTCCAAATTCTACACTTCTACTCGATCGGCAGAAGCTGCGCTCGAGTGACCATTCTATGATCTTACGCTTCCGCTCGAGCGACTAGAAGTCCACTCAAGCGTGAAATGCATGCTCACAGAAGTTTACCATTTTTGCAGATCGCTCGAGCGACAAGAGTTACGCTCAAGCGAGGACCTGAGTCTCACGCTCGAACGACCATCGAGTGTGAAAATCACACAACCAGTACTTTTTCAAAGTTTGCAGACCGCTCGAGCAAAGGAAGCTGCGCTCAAGCGGAACCTCACAGGTGTGCATGTCCGCTCGAGCGAAGGAAGTTGCACTCGAGCGGGATCCCTGTTTTCAGCAAATTTTGTTAAGGGTTCCAAAGTGCATTTTGGCATCCACATTGCATCCTAGGCATTCCTAGACCATGATTAAAACTCAATAAGAGGTTAAGACTTAGAAACACACTAAGAATGAAATGAAAGAAGTTAAGTACCAACCGAGAGTGTGTTTCATTATATGTTTCTGCTATATATGTATAGGTCACGCGCCACAAGTTATCTGATATGTCTATTCTGCAAGTGGAGCCATCTGTGAGTAATAACTTTGTAAAGCTATATTCACGTTAAAGTATTTTCTTATACGATATGACAAGAAATGATCTACTTTCTGAAATGCTATGTTCTGTGTCAATGTATGAATGTCCAATTTTTAACAAATATGCGTGGCATCCTTAGCACAAGGCCTTTGCCTGGGGGTAATAATACCGTGGTCTACAAGCACAAGGCCCTTGCCCGGGGGTAATAATAACGTGGTCTACAAGTGCAAGGCCCTTGCCCAGAGGTAATAATACCGTGGTTTCATGGCCCTTACCCGGGGGTAATAATATTGTGGCCCAAATATATTACAAGTACCAGGTACCGGAGGTTCCATATGGAGCTAACAAACATGATAACGCTAATGGATGTACCATTTATGATTAAGTATGAACTTTGATTTCCATATGTTGTTTGAACAAGAATATGAATATACATTTGTTTTTTATATGAACTCTGATTTCTGAATCTGTTATGGACATCAGTCATTTAAACCCTTTATTCTGTTATTATTCACTGGGCTCCCGCTCACTATTTATTTTATGTATATAGGTGAGCAAGCACGTAACCAGGCCTAAGTTGTTGCCTGGAGTGTTCTGAGTCAAACAACCACTATGCCTCCCTGGCAGGTTCATTTTTTTGAGAAGTCTAGTTCTGTAAACCTCGTGAAGATGTTTTTGTTGGTTGTTTTACTTATCTATATATTGGGGCTAAGTTTCTTTTAGCTGTATCTGTAATGAATGCGACATATGACTATTGCATAATGACGTCACATGTATGTGTATAAAGGTTTAAAATTTCTATCCCATATATGTCTTCATAGCTCAATGGACTATGTATGTTTCTATATTTGCTTCTTTAGCCCCTAATTATAAGTTATTCTGTTCAGAGGCCTTTGGTAATCTAAGGATTACTGGCTGATTACGACACTAAACCAAAGGGGCGGGTTTGGGTCGTGACACGGACTAACCCAACGAAGATCGTCAGTCGGTAGCCATAGTACTAGGTGTGTGCACTTTCAGGGCAAAACTTCAAACGTGGGGGCTTCGTAAATGTGGCCAACCAAATTGATATGCTAACTTCCAAAACCCTACTCGCCAGAATTACCAAATCAAGGTAGTCGGTCAAAATCCCCAAACGAAAATGAGGGATT